TATATATTTACATATATATTTCACTAGAACAATTTTTATGCATAAAATGAGATGAAGAAGAAATAAGAAAGCAAACAATCTATATTATCAATGTTTTTGCTCTAAATGTCTAACTAATTGTTACAAAAAAAATATATAAATTATTTTCAGCAGGCAAGGACGTGTTAAACAATTAAAATGAACATATGACGTATGCTATATAAATGTGTAATTATTTGTTAACAATGGCAAAATATATTGATAATTGAAAATACAAGTAAAAGTTATTGAAATTGAAATTGAAGTCGAGATCGGGTTGGAGATTGTATATTGTACATTTTACTTTTAAAACTAAACGAAAGTATTCACAATAACAATAACAACAATAACAAACAAGGATTAAATTAATGATATTTTAAATTTCGATTACACTTCAATTGTTTGTTTCCCTTTCTACTAAAACTAAAAACCCCAAAAAAAAAAAAAAAAATTAAGACAAATAATGAAATATTGAAATGTTCATAAACCCCGTTTTACATCCAACATCCAACGCATATTCTAAAGTAAGTCAAACAATTTGCAGCAGAGCAACAGTTAATTCAAGTTTTTATGAAAAGTTTGTTAAAGCATTTGCATACCGAAAGTAAAAAAAAAATTGATAAACTACACACGCAGAAAATTCCATAAAYATAAAACATTGCAAAATAATAATATATAATAAATAAAGCAAAAATATACCATATATTATGTTTATGTACTAATTAAAGTATACATATGTATCACCATAACAAAAACAAAAACAAAAAATATAAATATATATATAATTTAGTTGACTAATAATAAAACCAAACATTATTACTTATAACAGTTAGACTCAGAAGATGGCGTTAACTAAAGTTTAACATGGAAAGTGAAATACTGCGATTTATCAACATAATGAAGTAGAACAAGAAAACACAAACATTGAATGTCAAGTAATACTTAGAGCGCATACTAAAGAAGTACCACTAAACGAGGAAACATAAAGCCCAATGCAAATAGATTGAAAACTTGACAACCCATAAACTAAATACACTGTGAGAAGGAACATCATCTCTATAAGATTTAGACAAAGCGACAAATTATACTAGTCGCCATATATACATATATGTATGAATATATAAAAGCATGCATATTTCTAATATATATTTATACATATATGTATATATACCTAAATATATGACAACAATTTAATGAGAATAACATCAAGTAAAGTAATAAACTGAAAGTGTATAACTATTAAAACTAACAAAACAACCAAGTCGTTATTTTTGAATATTCCAAAAGTTTTATCTAAAAACTACAGTTGGAATAGAATAAGACTTCATACTTATTTTGACCGAAAATGCCTGTGGGTAACATTGGAGCTAAAATTATAGTTGTTGCTTGGTTACAAAATAGGTACAGTATACTGGTTCTGTACAATGCTCACTTGTTGGTATGTACACAAAGCATTTAATATATTATATCTATCTTCAATGTATAATCCTGTATGGCTTTGAACCATACACTTACATTATACCACTCATACCCTCTGTTGCTTGAATTTACTATATATTATTCAGCTCTTCAGTTGCAAAACTATGATCATTATGTTTGTCATAAGCAGATACGTCGATCGGAAGCGATTGAGAATCGTGCAGTCGTTTATTCGCTCGCGTTAAATGGTTTACTTAACTTTGAGTTGTTTAATTTAAGCTGAAAATCAAAAACTTTATTTATAGACATTCACTTTTCAGTCGATTAGTCACATAATACTTATTTGGTAAAGTGATTCGATAATAAATAGTGCGAAATGTATATAGAGGAGATTTGAAGGGTAAGCGCATTTTGACAAAAATGAAAACTAAGTAAATTCCATGAGAAATAAATAGTATAGAAAAGTGAATACATATATCTTATGCCATAGATGGCAAATGCCACAGTCACACATATTCGCCACTTCCTATGTACTATTTTACAGGATATATTTTTCACTTAAAAACAACTCTGTATATTTGTAGACAACGAGGAAATAATTAAGTAGAGTAAAATTTTTTTTTTTATTTTTATAAATATATATTCATGGCCTTGAGCAAGAGACTCCGTCCAAGTTAGCCTTATCCATCCATATGTCTGTCTGCTCATATCATCTTGATAAAAGATTTATTTTCTCCACATATAAATACGCCTCTTTCATTTAAAATAAAAATATTCGAAAATATTTTACACATTTTATTCACAAAAATTTAATAATTTAATCAATTTTATCGAACAATCCTGTCCGCAGACTATACAATTTTGAAAACAATACACGTGTTAATATACAATAATAAAAAACACCTGATTGTTTAAAATAATATAAATAGTTGAACAACAATTACAAGTTTAAAATGTCAAAATCTCATTTTTGAATGTTTGCTGAGCAAACATCAACGAAATCTGAGGGACTGAGTGCTGTTTACAATTTTACTGCTAGTAACACAATTTGAGAGGGAAAACAATACCCCGAAAGCCCATAGCCCCGTGACTAAATGCAGATGCAACCTACAAATTGGGACAGCCAAGATATAGAGAGGTAAGTTGATTCAAACGGCATTACCGATAATGAGATGACGCATAGCGCGGGCTGCGATGCTTCTGTTCGGACTTCTCATAGGTGATGCTCTTGAATTGATTATTTGCCTCAAGTGCTTGTGGTCTAGGCGCAGAGCCGCCTCGATTTACAAACAAATCCTTCCATATCATCGCTATGAGGACGAAGATTGCACCCACTATTCTGTTGACAAACTCGATTAGTTTAAAAATAATTGGGGTAGCGGTGTGTGTGAAGCGACTGAGCTCGAACAAAAAGCGCACCGCAAAGATGCCCATAAACCGAAGAGCGACAGCAGCGCCACTCAATATGGAAAACACGATCAGACACAGAAATCGTATTGTTCCTATTATATTGCGCTTATTCACATCGTTTGCCATAAATTCGTACGTTGTCGTTACAATTGACTGACGCCACTGTTGCAGAACCTCCAGAAAATCAGCCAATCCGATTTGCGGTGGTTGTACTTCGTCATCAACAACAACTTTGTTGCTGTCCCCAGAAGTTAAGGCTCTGCTAGGGCTACTTTTCTTTAGTGAGGGTCGTGGTGTTGGCAGAGGCTCGTCTTCAACAGGCCTAACCATTTTCAATTTGATCTGAACTTCTTGACTTCGAAACCGTAGCGTCTTAATGCTGAACCAGTATTCACCAAAAGCCAAATCACTGAGCTCCGTCCAAATGCATGTGTCCAGCTGTGCAGGATGTGGAATGTGCTTGTAGTTGCCCACGCTGCCTCTGGTAATGCCCACCCACATATTGGGCACGAAACGCTGATAGAACAATTGCAGTTTCTCTGCGCTAGACAACAGCTGCTTTTCCAGATCACGTTCGCTGCGCTGTAGGACTATAACATCGCGATAGCCACCAAGCTGATCGACAAAGCAACGCTCGAGGTAAACGCCTCGAAAGAGTCGAGATTTGTATAACTGTTTGGTAAGCGATTGCATGGCTAACTCCTCAGGCGGCATAAATCGAGCGCCAGCTGGTGCTGCCACCACACCCGTCCCCGTCGCATCAGTTTCGGCCATTATTCAATAGTGTTTCTGCGTATATGAGGGATATACCATTTGTGTTTATTGAACAATCATCCGACGGGTCAAATAACCTTTACCTGATCTTTTCCAAATATCGAGGTTCAGCTTTCGCTTCTTAGTCAGCAAATGCTTTGTTATTGTTTTGGGTAATCTTAGCCACTGATCAAAATGGTGTCTGATTGTCCCTCAATGGACATGCACTATTATTTTTGAAAGCAATACAGCTGTATGCAGCGACAAGACATAATTCTCCGCTAATGAATCAAGTACAAATTATTTAACGAATTGCAACAAACTAATGTTTTGATGTTATGGACTTTGTAATCGAATACTATTAATCACCTCTAACAAAATTCCGGCATAATCAATACGTTTGAATTTAGTAGCTACGGTCACACTTATCGTATCGACAACAAAACAAAATAGGACCAAATCGTTTTGACAGCTACCCTAATATACATTTTTTCCTAAACTTCCTACAAGTCGCTATCAAAATTGGCTCCAGGCACGATCTTAGAGAATATTATATAAGGATGACTTTAGTGGGGTTGGCAGCCCGCAAGCTGGCTCAAAAGCAACGGTAAGTACGAGCTGTAAGACGTTAAATATCCCAACTAACATTTCACTTTGAAGATCTGCAAAGTTGGCCGCTGCGTTTCCAAATGGCATACGCTGTCAGAAATGTCTAAATTTTGGTCACTGGAGCTATGAGTGCAAGGAAAAACGAAAATACGTTCATCGGAGCTCACGTACCAAGCAGCTAAGCAAACATTTGGCAGAAAAGGCCGCAGCCAACGTGGAATCAACATCGACCAATGAGACCCGGTCTTCAGATGCCGGAGCTGAAGTGCGCCTGCATCGGGAGAAACGGACAAAGCGTAAAAGAAAACGCAGCAATAGCTCTTCATCGTCGAGTTCGTCTAATAGCTCAAATAGCAGTTCGGACTCGTCAAATTCGGATAGTAGCAGCAGCAGCGATTCCGATAGTTCCAGCTCCGACGAAGACGATGATGGTAGCTCCTCAGATGGCGAATCAGGTTCCTCAAGTGACAGCGACAATGACGACTCCAGCTCTAGCAGCAGTGATGATCAGGAAAACTCATCACCTAAGAAGAAGAAACGCCGGGATAGCTCAGCTGAGTCGTCCGATGACGATGCATAAGATGTATACGCGGCTCTCAGATATCAATCGTATAACTACTACTGTACTACAATAACTGTAACTGTAATACGTATAATGCATACATAGCTTTAGTAGTTTAGTTTACTTTCTTTGAGTGCTTTTACCGGTAATTCACAAATATGGAAACATTTTATAATTACTTTATTTTAAAATAGTTTTAATTTAGTACGCAATGAGTTTGGCAAATATTTTCAATTAGCTAAATTTGTACCAATAAATGATTGTGAACAGCTGTAATTTCGGTCAGTCCGATTCAATTTCCACATCAAATTGTTGAAAGTCGTTTTCGAATAACTGCAAGTCAATTTCTTGACGGTTTATTTCCTCATTCGGTGTAGTCATGCTTTGATCACAGATTTCCCGGCTCATGCCCACATTTGATAATTCCATGGACGTCACTTGATGCACTGAATTGGATTTTAAATGCAGCTCCTCAACCTAAACAATGAATAGATTTTAAGTTACTATTGTAATCGCCCATTTTTTACTGCGTACCTTAAGCGAATTCAATGCTTCCTGAATAACGGGCAGCACCCTAACTAGCTTCTTTTCTATGGCATATAAATGAGTCTGCTCTTTTAGCAAGACACGGTTTGACTGTAGCATTTTAACCACTTGCAAACAATAACCACTGTTCTATGGTTAGTGCACTAACTTAACAAAATCACTAACCAAATACAGATCTGTTATGCCAGCATGCCTTGTTTACTGTTAAATTAACATTATGCCTAACTGTTAAAACATATTGATAATGTATACATATGTATGTATGTATATTTTTTTGCTTGCATATTGTAATAATGAATGATTAAAATATTTTTTATTATTTTTTAATCAGCCACAGCTTTGAACGTAACAACTGGGACTTCTCTGTTTTTAATAAAACATATTATATGTATTTTATTTTTTATAGAACAAGCTGAGCAGTTGACATTTTTCTTGTTTGGTCACACACTCAACCTCAAGCTTAAATTAAAATTAAAAGGACATCGTAACATAATCGAGTATTCAACGCCTAATATTTATTTCTATAAATTCTTAAATTTTTTTGCATGAGGTAAAGCAATAGAAGTATATTTTATTTGGTTGGGTTGGGGACATAGGACACCATAAAAAACAGTGTGACCAGCCTGTGAGCGCCGCGTCGCATTTTAATGTTCGCGCCGAAAGATACGTGAAATTAACTTTTGTTTAGCTATTTAAAATATAAAAAGGTAATTATATGGAGGCAAAGAACTGCTCGCACATTTATTTTATTTTTTTTATTGCAGCATTCAAATGATGAAAAACGAAGACAAGGGGATGATCCTTAAGCGTTTCATTGAGAACTGTCAAATGCTAAAAATTGATCAAAGCATTTGGCAAAAAGCGACCAAAACATTTCACAAACTAAACGCAGATGGCGTGCTGTCCAGCGAGGCCGACGACTGGCTATGCTGCGCCATATACAGTGAGCTGCAGCAGACTAAAATGAAGGATATGCGCCAGGAAGAAGACACCACCAGCAGGAGCGATAACGATCTCGAGCCATGGGAAAAGAAGACGCGTTCCAATAGCTGGAACATTTCGCTGACCCAATTGCTGCGCAGCTTCAACATTAATATTACCAAGTTTCTGAAGAGAATGGAACACTGGAATTGGATAGCGCAGAGCTCTGAAGTGTTTCAGCAGGAAATCAATGATCTGGAGAGACGTCTCGGTATAACTCTGCTCCTGCAACAACACTACAAACGCATTTTCAACCAACTCTATGTACAACCATCGACTGCAGAGAGTCGGGCGCACTATCAAATGCTATATGAATTTGGCTGGCTGCTGTTTCTGGTGGTGCGCAACGAGCTACCGTCGTTTGCAACCACCAACATTGTCAATGGCTGTCAGGTGCTCGTTTGTACCCTGGAACTGGTCTATGTTAACGCGCTTGAAGTGCACAAATCGGACGTAATTAACACTTCATTTGTAGGTGTACCATCAAAGTGGAGCGACAATGAATTCGACACCGATATGCTACTCAAGTACAGTGCCTTGGATGCCATATGCGGACTCATACCGGAGCTGCCGGTAAAAGGAGCTCGAATCATGAAAAATGCCTTCTTCCATAAGGCTGTGATGGGCTTGTTTATGGATCAACGTCTGCTGGGCAACGATCGTGCTATGCGCGAATTGGTCAAGGACGGCATATTGGAAGTGAACTTAACGTCTCTAAATCGGAGTTACGCCGTACACGTATCAGACATCAGTGAGATTGACGAACGCATTCTACTAAAACCCACAACATATTCCTCCACTGAGAAGCTTGCGCTGAGAGAAACGGAAAAGCGAATTAATGAAAATGAAGCCGATCGCAAGATTATCTCTCTGCTAACAAACGCCACGCAGCGCGATAATCTTACGAAGCTGTTAACTGATGGACTGCCTCAATCCCTGCCTGTCTACATAGGCGGCACCCTGGGCAAGGAGGATGTGAGTCGCTTGGAGAATTCGCTTCGTGATATGTGCCATAAGCTTGAGCTCAAATCGCCCTTGAAGCAAGACACAACTGAATGCCGCTTTAACCTGGTCAGAGGTTTGTACTATGTCCTGCTGGACAAGATCATCGGCGCCGAGCTACGTCGCAGGCCCTCAATCAAAATCGCACAAATGCTGAAGCAATTGCAGCGCACCTTCAATGCAACGCTGATTGCCTGCTGCCTGGAGCTGGTGCTGCACATCTTCGGGACGGACGAGACACAGACTAAGTTTCCCTGGGTGTTGAACTGCTTTGGTATCGATGCTTACGAGTTCCAAAAGATAATCGAGCTGGTTGTGCGGCATGAAAGCGGTTTGCTGACACGTGATCTGATCAAGCACTTGCAGGAGATCGAGACCCAGTGTCTGACCAAACTGATCTGGCAGAAGAGCTCGCAGCTGTGGCGCTATGTGGACAGTGCAGGTCTGCCCAGATTTCAGGATGTGCAGTCGAGCTTGGGCCAAGAAAATGTCAAATTTGCCTCTGGCTCAGTGACAATTTGCCTGCGTAAATTCTACCATGTGGCCAACCAGCGGCTGACATATCTTTGCAAGTGTCTATCATTGGTGACCAGCTACACACAGATTTGGCACATTTTGGAGCACTCTATCATTGTGCATGGCGAAGAGCTGCTGCAGCAGCGCCACCTCGACCAGCTGCTGATATGCGCCATCTACCTGTGGGGGCGCAAGTCGCACCTGCGCATCACCTTCAGCGACATTATTCAACAGTACCGACGCCAGCCCCATGCCGACAGTGCCATCTATCGGGCCGTATACTGTGCCGATGGACAGCCCACCACGGATATCATCAGCTTCTACAATCGAGTCTATATTCCACTCATGGCCGACTACGCTTTTGCCCTCCAATGCGGGCAATCTGATGCTGCAAAGGAAACTGCTGCGACCAGTCGGCCCCTGCAGGAGCTCAGCGGCAACAACAAGCGCCGCCTCAAGAGCAACGTCACTGTCTCGCCGGCAGCAATGCCCCGCATCTGCATGGCCAACGACTGCAAGGCCAAGATCATAAGTGACCGTGAGGCAACCCCGAAGAATCTGAAACGCGCCCATTCCAACGATGAGCTGGGTCACCCAGTATCCAGTAAACGACCGAACATACTCAGACGACGCACAACCTTTCTCTGAGAACCGGATCCGGTCATCAGTCAGCACTAAAATGTTATTTCTTGTTACGCGCAACATCGCTACCCCTCAGTGTTTTCACTATGGTACATTAGGTTAGACTTAAAGTTTTTATGAATGAATTTGAATTGTATTAGGTATTACAGACCTATTTAGAGCACTCTATATTATATTGCATTTGCAATATTAGATCTTGAATTTTGAATATTAAACCCACGCATAATGGACACTTGAATTACGTCTATCAAGGAGCACCTCTCATTTTATCTTCCCCTTCAAATTAGTATACATTACGGTTGTGTAGTCTGCATTGTAAATTGCTTTTTACATTTAATATATATTTGATATTGCACATACATATTATATAAATCGTATCCCCCCCAAAGATACTTTGATTAATAGTTTTAGAAATACATTAAAAAAAATATTGAACAATTCCGTACATATGAATAGACTTTATTTTAATGCGGTTTTGGATTTGAAACTCGGTTCAAAATTGTGTATATTGGAAAGGTGCCCAGCCAAAGACTGAGCGCCACCACGGCTCTACAAAAATTGTTAAAATAATCTAATAAAGGACTTGCAAGCGGGAGTTGATGACAATTGGGTTATGGGACAGGAGGTGGAGGAGGGGAGACGAGCATACAATACATACTGAGAGCGTGCAACTTATAGCTAAAGTTTTTCTGATGCCTACAAATAGCTTTAAGATGAAGGAGGAGGAGGATTAGCAGCAGCGACGCTTGCCGCAGGAATGCTCGGAGCAGGCGCTGAGCTGGGCGCAACTGCTGCCACGCTGGCGGCTTCGGCAACAGGTGGTGCACTAGCTGGCGGCGTAGTGTCTAAAGGGAAGACAGAGATGGGGTGTTCATTTTAATTTAGACTTGATGCGTCTTGTCTCTCACTTACCCATTGGCGTCGGCGCTTGAGTGCTTGGTGCAGGAAGTTCGCCTGGTGGTGTTGGCGGCGCTGTGGCCGCCGGAACGACAGCTGTCGGTGCTGTGAACGGTGCACCATTTGGTGGTGCGGCTGCAGCCACGTGTGACGGCAACGGTTGATGCTGCACCGCAGGCGCTCCCAGCTGCTGCGGTGGCGGTGGCTGAAGTGGATGCTGTTGCTGCGGCTGCTGTTGTTGAGCATGCTGTTGATGCGGAGGCGGCGGTAGCGTCTGTTGTTGTTGCTGCTGCTGCTGCTGTGGTGGCATCGCCATGGCACCTACAGCGGCACCCACCTGGCCCTGTTGCTGCAGCTCCTGCTGCAGACGGTGATGCGCCTGTTGGCGCGCTCGAAACTCGGCCGCCTTCAGCTGCTCAAGGTGAAATTGTTGACGCTCCGTAATGAGCTGCTGTCGCTGATATTCAAGGCCCTCACGCTCCCGCTCCATGGTGGCCTCCAGCTCCTCGAAATGCCGCAGCTTAATTTCCAGCTTCTTCATCTGTGTCTCCACCAACAGCGCCACCAGTGACTTGATCTTGCGCTCTTCCAGCGCTGCCAAATGTTTCGCTTTGACAGCTGCCGATGCCAAGGCGGCCGCAGCTGCCGTTTGCATATTGTTCTCGCTGAAAGCTCCATCCTTGGCAGGAGCACCACCACTACTGGCATCGTTGCTACCATCCTTCGTCTCGCCGTCTCCACTGTTATCCTCGGTCTTGATCTCAATATCGTTGCTCGCTCCAGTCTCTGTGGGTGAGGAGTTGGAAGCCGTCTTGCCCGTCTTGTCGGTTTTATTGATTTTGTCGGCTGCGGCCGACGACGGCGACGAATCTTTCGACTTTTTGTCTGTGCTATTTGATGTGGCTGCTGCTGCGGCTCCTGCTGTTGTTGTAGTTGGTGTTGTTGTTGTTGACGATGTTGCTGATGTGGAACTCGAGTCTGTGGCGGTGCCGAGCTTATCCGATTTCGTTTTGTCTTTAGACTTTGCATCGTCTGTCGATTGTTTAAACAAATTGGGCAAATTTTGTAAATAAATACAATATAATATTAGGTTAAACCACTTATACCAATTTTATCAATACAAGAAATGTTAATATTAAGTTAACACATTTTAAAAGGGCCAAAATTGCAAATTACACTGTAATGTGTAATGTGTCAAATTTTTAATTTCACGGTGTTTATGATGTATAAACAAATATTTCTCAACATTATAGGGAAGCTAAAGAGATTACGAGATAAAGAGAATACCCCGGTTCTAAATTGAAGCACTAAATAAAATTATAAAAGTTTAACTCTTATCGCATGAATGAATAATTAATGGTTAAACTAGTTGCTTACCGTCTTTTTTGTTAACATCTTTTGCATCTTCATCGTTGCCGGCTGCAGTGGAGCTGGTGTTGTTGCCCTCCTTTGATTCATCATCGTCCTTGTCGTTCCCTGTGCCAGCAATGCCGCTATTCGCCAGACCAAAGTTGGGATTGAATTTGCCCCCAGACGAAGCCTTCTCCACGTTTTTCATATGGTTGTCCATTATGGTAGCGGGCACCTCGTCCTGCCGTAAGCAAAAGATCCATTAACAATTGAAGTCATTGACCCCGTGTGCTGTATAACTTACCTTGATGGCAGCGAATTCCTCCATAGCAGCCTTCGCAGCAGCAGCCGCAACACGTGGGTCCACCACGGATGCCAAGAATGCCACTGTCGACATAATTGGATTGCCAGACTTGCTAAATGGAATTGGCTGGCAGCCGAGCGGTCCCAAAAAGCCGCCATCGTCTTCCAGGTACGGATCCTCGATAGGCAGACGCAAGAAGTGCAAAATGCATTCGTCCTGGGTGCGAGTACCCACATGCTCGCACACCTTGTTCCAGTCGTCCTTGTGCATCTCGAGACCCTCGAGTAGGAGCAGCGTCTCCTGATCGGTCCACTCCCGCGACATGCTCGCCGCCGTACGATTCTTCATGGCCGCCGGCTTTTTGGCATACTGATCCAGCTTCAGACCAAACTGGCTGACTCCAGAGGCCAACCCACTGGCTGCACCGTTTTCCAGTGTCTCCGTCTTAATGCCCAACGCACCACCGCTGCCTTTATCGCAATCCACGCCACCTTCCTTGCCCAGCGGTTTCTTGTCAAGATCAAGTAGTGTCTTGGCTGCCGATGGCTGTTGTGTCTTCTGCGGATTAATCGCCTGCAAGCCTGATGGTGTATCCGACAGTATGTGGAAGTGCGAAGTGGGCGGCGGGCCCATAGGCGTTGGACGCAGATCGGCATCAATCTGGTAATTGATTAGACCCCACTGCTCCAAAAATGCATGCACTCGCATTATGGCGCACACATCGCCAGCCAAGTTACGGCGACAAGCGGTACTCGTCAAGTATTCAGTTGGATTTAGCCTGCAAAGAAAATGGGAATTCTTCTTCTTCTTCTTCTCTTCAATTTCAATTGGTAAAGTGGAACTCACCTATAGGTGTCAATCATGAAATTGCGATAAGCCATGTAAATCTCTGGTGTCTTCGATTTGTTCTTGCTGTTGAAGAATTCAGGCATGGCGCGTTTTTCAATTACATGAATTGAGTTGTAGTCAAACCAGGCGGAATAGGAGGGAACAATGATGTGATGCGTCTGCTCGGTCACATTATCCTCCATGTCTTCCTTGGCAGACGATGAGAATTCTTGGGTATTGCTGTTGTCGCTGGTCTTGCCCGTCTGTGAATTGTCGCCATCGCCAGCTGACATCGCTTGGGCAGCACTGCCGCCAGTCATTTCATCGTCCAGATCAGTCATGGTGCCACCTGGATTAACAATTATAACAATAATTGCCAACAACAATAATAATATGGATAATTTACCCTTAATAGGCATCATATCGTTGTCCGCACGCGATTTTCCGCCAGGTGCTGGGCTAGCAGTCGATTGCAGTGCCGAATGCGTTGCCTTGTGCACTTCCTGGATATTAGGCTCCGCCGGTGGATCATCGAGATCCCGAGTAAGATCTTCATCATCGTCATCGTTGCGCGACTTCTTGTGTATGACTGCTGGGGAGCGCTTTCGCTTGCCCGGCTTCGATGTGGATGTGGAGGTAGTGGGCGATGGAGAGCGACGTCGCTTCTGTTTACCAGTGCCACTGCTCGTGGTCGGCTTCTTTTTGTCATCGCCAAAGGACATTATGTCATCAATGGACATACGCTGTTTGTGCGTCTTTTTTTTGCCCAACTCATCGACCTCGTAGTCTTCCTCTGCCATCCACTCGTTGTACTGCTCCAGATCCAAAATCCACGAGGCAGACACCCGCCAACGCTCTGCGGGCGATTCCGGATTCTCGGGTATATTATCAGGCAAATCGAAACTATTCAGTGTCCAGGAGTCATATGACTCTGGGAAGTAGTACCAATGAAGCATTACATGATTGCCACGCTTGAATATAGGTCGAGCATATTCATCGGGATGTGGATCCACCACGGGATAGACAATGTGCGTGGCATCTTCCTCGTCGGTGACAATTTCAACACGTCGATTGTCAAGAATCTCACGTAGTCGTGTTTCAAAACTCTTCTCAATCTCTGGTCTGATGTAAATGTAGGGTATACGATAGAGATCTGCCTCCACTAAAGCTTGCTCGATCTCGATCAGTAATTGTATGTTAGGATCCTTTCTGGTAGGATTCTTGCCAATGGAAAAGTCAAATTTCTTGCCACGTTGCTCGGCGCGAAAACGAAACATGGTAGAGAAAATTATACATAGCCCTCCACCGTTTTTGAAATCCAAAAAACAACGCATCTGAAAAAATTAAAGGGAAAATAGAATTATATATTTATAA